CCCCGTTGGTGGGAATGTAAACTGGTGCAGCCACTATGGAGAACAGTATGGAGGTTCCTTAAAAAACTAAAAATAGAGTTGTCATATGATCCAGCAATTCCACTCTTGGGCATATACCCAGACAAAACTAATTCAAAAAGATACCCCTATGTTCACAGCAGCACTATTTACAATAGCCAAGACATGGAAACAACCTAAATGTCCAAAGACAGATGAATGGAAAAAGAAGATGTGGTATATATGTATAATGGAATACTATTCAGCCATAAAAAAGAATGAAATAAAGCCATCTGCAGCAACAGGGATGGACCTAGAGATTATCATACTAAGTTAAGTAAGTCAGACAAAGACAAATACCATATGCTATCACTTATATGTGGAATCTAAAATACAACACAAATGAACATATCTATGAAACAGACTCACAGACATAGAGAACGGACTACTTGTGGTTGTTGAGCGGGGGATGAGGGAGAGAAGTATTGGGAGTTTGGGATTAGCAGATGCAAACTATTATATATAGGATGGATAAACAACAAGGGCCTACTGTATAGCACAGGGAACTATATTCAATATCCTGTAATAAAGCATAATGAAAAAGAATATATGTGTATAACTGAGTTACTTTGCTGTACAGCAGAAATTAACACAACATTGTAAATCAACTGTACTTCAATAAAAGTTTTTTAAAAAGTAATGAATAACAGAAGGCAATGTGGGAAATTCACATATACGTGGAAATCACACAACACACTCCAAAATAACCAATAGGTCAAAGAAGAAATCACAAGGAAAATTAGGAAATACTTTGAGATAAATGAAAACAAGAACACAATGTATCAAAAGTTATAATGCAGCTAAAGCTTACAGGGAAATTTATAGCTATAAATGCTATATTAAAAAAGAAAGACCTCAAATTAATTACCTAACTGCACACCTTAAGAAACTAAAAAAAAAAAAGATGTTGCAAACTAAACCTATAGGAAACAGAAGGAAGGAAACAATACAGACTCAAGCAGAAATAAATGAAGTAGAGAACAGAAAAACAATAGAAAAATCAATGAAATAAAAAGTAGATTCTTTGAAAAGATCAACAAACTTGACAAGCGATTAGCTTGAAAGGCCAAGAAAAAAAGAGAAAAGACTCAAATTACTAAAATCTGGAATGAAAGAGGGATGTTATAATCACTCTTACATCAATAAAAAGGATTATAAGGGAATTTTATGAACAAATGTATGCCAACAGATTAGATAAACTAGATGAAATGGAAATTTCTATAAAGACACAAACTACTGAAATGGACTCAAGAAGAAAAAGAAAGTCTGAATAGGTCTATAACAAGCAAAAGGATTGAATCAGTAATCAAAACTTCCCACAAAGAAAAGCCCAGAACCAGATAGCTTCACTGTTGAATTCTACCAAACACATAAACAAGAATTCACAAACTTTTTTTTTTTAAACATTTATTTATTTATTTTTGGCTGTGCAGGGTCTTAGCTGCAGCCTGTGGATCTTCGTTGCAGCATGCAGAGTTGCGACACGTGAACTCTTAGTTGCAGCATGTAGGATCTAGTTCCCTGACCAGGGATCAAACCCAGGCCCTCTGTATTGGCAGCATGGAGTCTTAGCCACTGGACCACCAGGGAAGTCCCTTACAAACTCTTCTTAAAAAAAATAATAAAAGGAAAGAGAATATTGCCCAACTCATTCTATGAGGCCAGTATCACCCTGATACCAAAACCAAATTTAAAAATACCACAAGGGGGACTTCCCTGGTGGTCCAGTGGGTAAGACTCCACACTCCCAAAGCAGGGGTCCCGGGTTCGATCTCTGGTTGGGGAACCAGATCCTGCATGCACGCCACAACTAAGAGTCCGTGTGCTGCAACTAAGACCCTGAGCAGCATGCATAAATAAATATTTAAAAAATAAAAAAAAATATCACAAGGAAAGAAAACTACAGATCAATATTCCTCATGAATTTAGATGTAAAAATCCTTAAAACATACTCGCAAACTGAATCCAGCAATAGATACAAAGGATTATGCACCATGACCAAATGGAATTTATCCTGAGATTGCAAGTTTGGTTCAATATATGAAAATCAATTTAATACATAGTAAAAGAATAAAGGACAAAACCATATGATTGTCTTAATATATGTATAAAAAAGCATGAATACAATATGTGTATAAAATCAAACACCCTTTCATGCTAAAAACGTTCAACTAATTAAGAATAGAAGGAAATTCCATCAACCTGATAGAGGGCATCTATGAAAAACCCCAGTGAACATCATACCTGATGGTGAAAGAGTGGATGCTTTCCCCTAAGATCAGGAACAAGACAAAGATATCCACTCCTCCCAGTTCTAGTCAACATAGTACTGGAGATTCTAGCCAGGCAATCAGGCAAGAAAAAGAAAGAAAAGACACCCAGATTAAAAAGGAAGAAGTAAAACCAGCTCTATTTGCAATGACATGTAGAAAATCCACACACACACAAGAACTATGAGAATTAGTAAGCTAGTTCAGCAACGCTAAAGGATACAAGATCAATACATAAAAACTAATTATCTTTCTATACACTAGCAATGAACAATCTGCAAATGAAATTAAGAAAACATCTCCATTTACATTAGCATTGTGATGGATTGAATTGTGTCCCCCAAAAGCTATATATTGAAGCCCTAATGCCCAATGTGACTTTCTTTGGAAATAGGGCCTTTAAGGAAGTAATTAACATTAAACGAGGTCATAAGAATGAGGCTCTAATCTGACAGGACTGGTGTACTTATAAGAAAAAGAAGAGACACAGAGATCTCAGTCTCTCCACATATGCACAGAGGAAAATGCATGTGAAGACACAGGGAGAAGGTGGCTATGCAAGCCAAAAAGAGGTCTCACCAGTAAGCATCCCTGCTGGCACCCTGACCTTGGGATTTCAGTCTCCAGAACTGTGAAAAACTTAATTTATGTTGTTTAAGTCAACTAGTCCATGGTGTTTCTGTTATGGCGGCCCAAGCAAACTAACAGAAGCATGAAAAAGAATAAAAAACTCAGGAATAAATTTAACCAAAGAAGTGCAAGACTTGTACAACAAAAACTACTCATGTCACTGAAAGAAATTAAAGATCTAAATGAATGGAATGATACCCATGTTCATGAATCAAAATTTTTAATGTTATTAAAATGGCAATACTCCCCAATCTACAGATTCAGTGTAATCCCTATCAAAACCCCAGTTGCCTTTTTCACAGAAATTGACAAGCTGATCCTAAAATTAATGCAAGGGACCCAGAATAGCCAAAACAATCTTGAAAAAGAACAAAATTGGAAGATTCACACTTCTCTGATCTCAAAACTTAATAGGTTACAGTAATCAAGACAGTGTGGTAGTGACAAAAGGACAGACATATATATAAATAGAAATATGAGTATGTAAATAAACCCTCACAATTGATGGTCGATTTTTTTTTTTTTTTTTTTTTTTTTTTTTTGTGGTACGCGGGCCTCTCACTGTTGTGGCCTCTCCCGTTGCGGAGCACAGGCTCCGGACGTGCAGGCTCAGTGGCCATGGCTCGCGGGCCCAGCCGCTCCGCATCATGTGGGATCTTCCCAGACCGGGGCACGAACTCGTGTCCCCCTGCATCAGCAGGCGGACTCCCAACCACTGCGCCACCAGGGAAGCCCCATCAGTATTATTTTTAATAGCAAAAAGGTGGTGATCCAAATGTCCGTCGACTGATGAATGGATAAAATGTGGTATACCCACACAGTGGAATATTATTTGGCCATAAAAAGGAATGAAGTACTGATACATGGTACCACATGGATGAATATCATACTTTTGTTTTACTAAATGAAAGATGCCAGACACAAAAGGCTACATATTGTATGATTCCATTTATGTGAAATATCCAGAACAGTCATCCACGGAGGCAGTAGATTAATGGTTGACAGGGGATAGGGGAGGGAGAAATGGGGAGTGACTGCTAATAAGCATGTGGTTTCTTTTTGGGGTGATGAAAATGTTCTGGAATTAGTGGTGATGGTTGCACAACTTTATGAATATACTAAAAACCACTGATTTGTATGCTTTAAAGTGGTGAATTTTATGTATATGTAAATAAAAAGTATATTTAGAAAAGCGGATGGGGGGAGTTCAGGCCAAGATGGTAGAGTAGGAAGACCCTGAGCTTACCTCCTCTCATGGGCACACCAAAATTACAACTATTTACAGAGCAACGATTGTTAAGGAAGACCAGAATCTAGCAGAAAAGATCTTCAACTAAAGATATAAAGAAGGAACCACAGCGAGACCAGTAGGAGGGGTGGAGCAGTACAGTCAAGCCCCACACCTCTGAGTGGGGGACCCACAAACTGGAGGATAATTACAATTGCAGAGGTTCTCACCAAGGAGCAATGAGTCTGAGCCCTACACTGGGCTCCCCAGTCCTGGGGTCCTGCACCAGGAAGAAGAGTCCCCAGAACAATTGGCTTTGAAGACCAGCTTACTTTTGGGAGACCCAGAGGACTGTGGGAAACAGAGACTCCACTCTTAAAGGGCGCACACAAAATCTCACATGCTCCAGGACCCAGGGCAGAGGCAGTGATTTAAGAGGAGCCTGGGTCAGACCCACCTGATGATCTTGGAGAGTCTCCTGGACAGGCAGGAGGCAAACAGAGCTCACCCTGGGGACACAAGACACTGGTGGTAGCCAATTCTGGGAACTCATTCTACCATGTGGACACTGGTGCTGGCAAGTGCCATTTTGGAATCCTTCCTCTAGCCTATGAGCACTGGAAACCAGTCCTGCCCACCAGCCTGTTGGCACCAGCATCCTCAGGCCAAGCAACTAGCCAGGCAGGGACACAGTTCCACTCACCAGCAGGCAGGCTGCCTTAAGACCTCCTGAGCCCAAAACTGCCCCAGGATAAGGCCCTGCCCACCAGAGGGCCCAGAACCCAGCCCCCGACACCAGTGCACAGGTACTAACCATGGGACCCCCAGAGTCCTGCAGTCAGAGACCCCAGAACCCAGCTCCACCCACTAGTGGGCAGGCACCAGCCCCAGGACCCTCTGGGCCCTGGTCCCACCCACCAGCAGGCCAACATACCAACTCCAGGGCCCCCAGCATCCTGCAGCCAGAGACCCTGGTACCCAGCTCTGCCCACCAGCAGGTAGGCACCAGCCCCAGTATCCTCAGCCCTGACCACCAGAGGACTGGCACTAGCCTGGGAGCAGCCTCACACATCAGTGGGCAGGCACCAGCCCCAGGACCCCCCTGGGCCCCTGCCATACCACGAGTGGATGGACACCAGCCTCAGGACCGCCACAGCCCTGCAGCCTGCCATGGCAGGACCCAGCCCACCTTTCAGCAGGCCAGCACCAGCCCTGGGACCCCGTGGGCCCCAGCCCTGTCCACTAGCAGGCCAACACCAGCTCTGAGACACCTTGGGCCCCTTAGCCAGCCACCCTGGGATTTGGTCCCACCCACCAGCAGGCCAATACAAGGCTTGGGACACCCCAGATCCTGAAGCCAGCTGTGTCAGAAAATGGCCCATGTCTACCAGCAGACCAACACCAGCTCCAGGATCCCCAGGGCCCTGCATCCAGAGATCCTGGGAACTGGCTCTGCCTACCAGTGAGCCAGCACTAGCCCCAGTAACCGCTGGGCCTTGGCCACACCCACCAGCAGTTCAACACCAGCTCTGGGACCCCTGGACTCTGCAGCCAGAGACCACAGGGCCTGGCTCTGCCTGCCAATGGGCAGGCACTAGGCCCAGGACCCAGCTTCACACACTAATGGGCAGGCACCAGCACTTTGATACCCTGGGCCCTGACCTCACCCAACAGCAGGTAGACACCAGCCCCAGGACCACCATACCTCCACAGCCTGCCTTGTCAGGACCCAGCCAACACACCAGAAGGCCAGCACCAGCCCCAGGACATCCCATGCCCTGGGACCCCCTGCACGCTGCCCTGCCCACTGGCAGGTCAACCCCAGCTCTGGGACACCTTGGGTCCCTCAGCCAGCAGCCCTGGAATCCATCCCCACCCACCAGCAGGCCAACACCAACTCCAACATAGCTTGGTCTCATCAGCTAGCTACCCCAGGATCCAGCCCCACTCACCACTGCACCAGAACTAGTTTTGGGACACCTCAAACCCACAGCCAGCCATGCAGGAACTGACTCCACCTACCAGTAGGCCAACACTAGATCCAGGAACCCTGGCCCCACAACTAACCATCCCAGAACCTGGCTCTGTCCATCATGTGCCAGCACTAGCCCCAGGACCCTCCAGGGCTCTGCAGCCAGCTGCCTCATGACCTGGTCCTGCAAACCACTGACCAGCAGCCTCCTCACCAGGCAGGGCCTAGCAACCCAGCTGGATCAGGGACAAGCCACACCTACCAGACTGCCCACAGTAGTCATCCCACCATAACAGAAGGACCTATGCAGCCCACATGGGGGCACCCCTAGAGCACATAGGTCTGGTGACCAGAGGGGAGTGCACTGTTGGGACATATAGGACGTCTCCTACAAAAGGCCACTTTTCCAAACTTGGGAAACATAACCAACTTACCAGAGACATAGAAATAAAAACAGCAAATTAAAGGGCTTCCCTGGTGGCGCAGTGGTTGAGAGTCCGCCTGCTGATGCAGGGGACATGGGTTCGTGCCCCGGTCCGGGAAGATCCCACATGCCGTGGAGCGGCTGGGCCCATGAGCCATGGCCGCTGAGCCTGTGCATCCGGAGCCTGTGCTCCACAACGGGAGCGGCCACGACGGTGAGAGGCCCGCGTACCGCAAAAAAACAAAACAAAAAAAACAGCAAATAAGAAAAATGAGGCAACAGAGGAACATGTTCCAAACGAAGGAACATGATAAAACCCAGAAGAACTAAGTGAAATGGAGATAGGCAATCTACCTCATAAAGAGTTCAAGGTAATGATCATAAAGAATTCAGAAGAAGAATGGATGAACACAGTAAGAAGATGAACAAAGAGTTAAAAGATACAAAGAAGAACAAAATAGAGCTGAAGAATACAATAATTGAAATTAAAAATACACTAAAAGGAATCAACAGTAGATTAGAAGATACAGAAGAATGGATCAGTGGAAATCACTGAAGCTGAACAGAGAAAAGAACAAAAAGAAAAGAGGACAGTTTAAGAGACCTCTGGCACAACATGAAGCATACTTACATTTGCATTATAGGGATCCCAGAAGGAGAAGAAAGACACAAAGGGGCAGAGAACATATTTGAAGACATAAGAGCTGAAAACTTCCATAACCTGGGAAAGGAAAGACATCCAGGACCAGGAAGTACAGAGAGTCCCAAACAGGATCAACCCAAAGAGGACCACAAGACACACTGTAATCTAAATGGCGAAAATGAAAGATAAAGAGACTATCAAAAACAGCAAGGGAAAAACAACAAGTTATGTACAAGGGATAAGTCTATCAGCTGAATTTTCAGCAGAAATTTCAGCGTGGCAGGATATATTTAAAGTGATGAAAGAAAAAAAACCTACAACCAAGAATACTCTATTCAGCAAGGTTTTCATTCAGATTTGATAGAGAGGGCAAAAGTTTTACAGACAAGCAAAAGCTAAAAGAGTTCACCACCAAACCTGCTTTACAAGCAATGTTAAAGGGACTTCTCTAAGCAAAAATGGCCATAACTAGAAACATGAAAATTACAGAAGGAAAAAGCTTATTGGTAAAGGGGAATATACAGTAAAGGTAGTAAATCAACCATGTACAAAGCTAACAGGAAAATTAAAAGACAAAAGTAGTAAAATCATCTATATCCACAATAAGTATTTAATGGATACACAAAACGAAGAGGTGTAAAATATGATGTCAAAACCAGTAAATTGTAGGGGAGGGGAGTGTAAATTCAGGGTCATTAAAATGCATTTGAAATTAAGAGATCAGCAACTTAAAATGATCACATATACATATAAGTTGCTATATATAAATCTCATGGTAGCCACAAACCAAAAATCTGTAACAGATATATGCACAGAAAAGAAAAAGGAATCCCAACATCAAATATAAAAGATAGTCATCGAATCACAAGGGAAGAGAGCAAAAGAAGAAAGGAAACAAAAAAAAGAACTACAAAAACAACTCCAAAACAATTAACAATGGCACTAAGTACATACCTATCAATAATTACTTTAAATGTAAATGTACTAAATGCTCCAATAAAAAGACACAGGGTAGCTGAATGGATACAAAAACAAGACCCATATATATATGCTGCCTACAAGAGACTCACTTCAGATCTAAAGACAGACATAGACTGAAAGTGAGGGGATGGAAAAAGGTACTCCAAGCAAATGGAAATCAAAAGAAAGCCAGGGTAGCAATACTAATAGCAGCCAAAATAGCCTTTCAAACTGAGACTGTAATAAGAGACAAAGAAAGAATCAATCCAAGAAAATATAACAATTGTAAATATATATGCACCCAACACAGGAGCACCTAAATACATAATGCAAATTATTAACCAACATAAAGAGAGAGACTGACAGTAACACAATAATAGTATGGGACTTTAACACCCCACTTACATCAATGGACAGATCATCCAGACAGAAAATCAATATGAAAACACTGCCTTAGAGATATAGACCAAATGGAATATATATGAAACATTCCATCCAAAAGCAGCAGAATACACATTCTTTTCAAGTGCACATGAAACATTCTCCAGGAGAGATCACATGCTAGGCCACAAGTCTTAGTAAATTTAAGAAAACTTAAATCATATCAAGAATCTTTTTCCAACCACAGTGCTTTTTCCAACCACAAATCAACTACAAGAAAAAACTGCAAAAAACACAAACATGTGGAGGCTAAACAATATACTACTAAACAACCACTGAAGAAATCAAAGAAAAAATTTAAAAATACCTGGAGACAAATGAAAATGAAAATACAACAGTCCAAAATCTACGGGATGCAGCAAAAGTAGTTCTGAGAGGGAAGTTTATAGTTATACAAGCCTACTTCAGGAAACAAGAAAAAACTCAAATAAGCAACTGAACCTTACACATAATGGAACTAGAAAAAGAACAACAAAACCCAACGTTAGTAGAAGGAAACAAATCATAAAGATCAGAGCAGAAATAAATGAAATAGAGACTTAAAAAAACAATAGAAACGATCAATGAAACTAAGAACTGGTTCTTTGATAAGATAAATAAAATGGATAAACCTTTAGCTAGACTCAGGAAAAAAAGAAAGAGGGCTCAAATCAATAAACTCAGTAATGAAAAAGGAGAAGTTACAACCAACACCACAGAAATGCAAAGGATAAGATTACTACAACTATATGTCAATAAAATGGACAACCCAGAAAAAATGAACAAATTTCTAGAAATGTACAATCTCCCAAGACTCAACCAGGAAGAAATAGAAAACATGAACAGACCAATTACCAGTAATTAAATTGAATAGGTAATTTTTAAAAATCCCAACAAACAAAAGTCCAGGACTAGATGGCTTCACAGGTGAATTCTACCAAATATTTAGAGAAGAGTTAATACTAAGTCTTCTCAAACTATTCAAAAAAACTGCAGAGGAGGGAACACTTCTACAAGGCCAGCATCCTTCTGATACCAAAACCAGACAAAAATATCACACAAAAAGAAAATTACAGGCAATATCACTCATGAACATAAATGCAAAAAATCCTCAAATTAAACCAAATTAAACAACACACTGATAGGATCATATCCCATGATCAAGTGGGATTTAGCCCAGGGATGCAAGGATGGTTCAATACCCACAAATCAATCAATGTGATACACCACATTAACAAGCTGAAGAATAAAAATCATATAATCATCCCAATAGATACAGAAAAAGCTTTGGACAAAATTCAACATCCATTTATGATAAACACTCTATACAAAGTAGGTATAGAGGGAACATACCTCAACATGATAAAGGCCATATATAAGCCCACAGCTAACATCATACTCAATGGTGAAAAGCTGACAGCATTTCCTCTAAGATCAGGAGCAAGACAAGAATGCCCACTCTTGCCACTTTTATTCAACATAGTATTGGAAGTCCTAGCCACATGATTAGACAAGAAAAAGAAATAAAATGAATCTATATTGGAAAGTAAGAAGTACAACTGTCACTGTTTGCAGATGACATGATACTATACATAGAAAATCCTAAAGACACCAGCAAAAAACTACTAGAGCTCATCAATGAATTTGGTAAAGTTGCAGGATACAAAATTAATATACAGAAATCTGTTGCACTGCTATACACTAACAATGAATGATCAGAAAAGGAAATTAAGAAAAAAATCCTGGGACTTCTCTGGTGGCACAGAGGTTAAGAATCTGCCTGCCAATGCAGGGGACACAGGTTCGATCCCTGGTCCGGGAAGATCCCACACGCCGCAGGGCAACTAAGCCCATGCACCACAACTACCGAGCCTGCACTCTAGAGCCCACGAGTTACAACTACTGAGCCCGTGCACCACAACTACTGAAGCCCGTG